TGGGGAATTCTGGGAGTTGAAGTCCTCCAGGCTTAAAGTTGCCAGGGTTGGAGACCTCTGCTCTAAAGTATCACTTCCAGCCCATATTTTATTGGCCGGTGCAATATTCCATACTCCAGATTTAAAAATAAGTTCTTTGAACTATGATCTGTTTGAGAAGGGGCTTGTGGAAGATTCTGATCCCAAGTGGCCCAATCCGTTTTGATTTCAGTCTTCTTTTTTAGATAATTTTAAATGGGCTTCTCTTTCTATTGAACCCTCTCTCTTTTGTTTGAATTTTGCACTGAAAGAAGTAATCTGATTCTTCAATTTGATTCTTGCAGTGATTTTTAACCACTGTTTATCTTTGTTTCTTTTCAACAGGAAGTGAAGTTTTTTCCTGGGGTCAGAACAAGTATGGACAATTAGGATTAGGTTTTGAATATAAAAAGCAAACATCTCCACAAGTAATCAAATCTTTATTAGGGATCCCTTTTGCCCAAATAACAGCAGGCGGTGCCCATAGCTTTGTACTTACTCTTTCTGGAGCAGTCTTTGGATGGGGCCGGAACAAATTTGGACAACTCGGTCTTAATGATGAAAATGGTAAGTTCTACATCGCAGATTATAAAATGAACTTTTATGATAGAAATGATTCTGTTTGCTCAGTGCTCAAATTGTTTGTGTTATAGGCAGGAGCTCTCTGAATTACAAAACCTTGCTGAAATTAGTTGTGACTCTTATTAAACTACATGACTTGGCAATGCCTGCATTCCTTAATTGTTAGAACAATAGCACTTTCAAAACAATGGATAAATTGTGTTAAATATCATTCTGAAATGTTGCCTCCTGATGCCTTGCATTGCTTGATGGCAATACAATCTGTGAAATTATGAACTTTTTAAGTTGTGTCAAAGTTCCTATTGGAGGCAGTGATCTGTCAAATGAGATCATTTTTGTATTTTTGTGCGTGTGTAATTTGCCACCATTTATAATTTACCAAATTATTATAATTTTTAGATAGATACGTCCCCAATCTTCTGAAGTCACTAAGATCCCAAAAAATTGTTTATATCTCCTGTGGAGAAGATCATACTGCAGCTCTTACAAAGGTGTGTTCAGTCTGTCTTTGGTTCCAGATGTGAATTGAAATGTGATGTAAAAGACTTAATATTAATAGTTCTTGGTGGCCTTATCCCATATAATTGGGTTGCACCAATAATGTAGCCAGAAATACCATGTCTGCCCTTGAAATCTATTAAGCCTATTCCTGATACTATGATGCTAGAAAATGGTTACCTTTTAATTACTGTGGGAACTATCCGTAAGGCATTGTGCTACCAGAGTAGTTCTGCATTTTCTAATTCCATAGCCAGGGCATAAGATAGAGTCATGGGCACCCCTTCTTTCTCTCCTTCCTCCACATTTCAACTCTTGATCATAGGGTCAATTTGTATACAAAAGTTGTATTCTCTTTTTGAACCATATATATAATAAACTCACCAACTTGGGCAATTAACATAAATTTGCAGAATCTTTCCAAGATATGATTTAAAATCTAGACACTAATTTGTTTATTATTAGTTTAACTTGCTGCAAAAGAATTTAATAAACAGCTAGTCCATATTTACTGACCATTTGCTCAGTGACCGTTGAAAATTATGACAGTTCTGAAAAATAACTTTACATTTATGATCTTTGCAGTGTCCCTCAGTCATGAGATTGCCATTACAATCAGTATGTGCTGTCCTTTTCTTGACCTATTTTTTTCTTTGTCTCCCCTTGCAAAGCAGAGAGATTGAGGAGAAGGGTTTGCAAGAGAGTAAGCTCTTTTGCCCATTGAAAGCAATGTGACTGCACCAGCAGCAGGCTGGGAACCACGGGTATCCAATGCAAACAGCTTAAAGTACCATTTTGAATCTCCCCTCAGTCCTCCACTCTGCATAGGGGTCTGGGAGAGAGACAAAAAGCAAGTGGCTTCTGTAGGCAATTTTTCCTTTGCCTGACTATTCCCACCCTCCCACTTTGCAGGGCAGAGAGTATGGAGAGGGATTTCCAAAGAGTAAACAGTTTGCACTTCTATAAATTGAGAAAAAAATCAATTGCATAGGCAGTAGGCAAAGGAAAGAGTGCACCCATAAACTGCTTGCTTTTTTCCTTCCCTACCACGTGGCAGAGCTGAGAAATTGGAGAGGAAAAGACTAGTGTGTAAGCTATTAGTATATGCACTTGCAACTTCAGGCCTGGACTGCTGGCATGATCACACTGCTCTTGATGTGTAAATGGGCAAATAGATTGCCATCTTGAAATATTTTTCTCTCCAAACTCTCTGCTTTGAGGTTGGGTCCCTTTTGTCTGAATATTCTGATAAATGGTAATAAAACAATATTCCTGTCTCAGTTTGTCTCATTGGAAAATATACATGCCGAGGCACAAGCCTAAAAAGGGGCATATTTGGTCTTCAGGAGGAAGCAAGCAATTTTTGTAGACAATCGCTCCTTGGCCTGCCCCATCCAGTAGAGAAATGGGAGAGGAAGAGATTTGAAGAGAATAAGCCGATTGTTCTTCTACACATTGAAAGCAGCGTGAACAGGCTGACAGTGGGAAAAGATCAAGCAAAGGCGAGATTTGACTAGAGAAATCATTTGCTCCTCCCAACCCCTTTGCAGAGCAGAGGGCTTGAAGACAAAGGAATTTCAAGAGAGCAAGCTGTTTACATTGTGTGCCGGATGTCTCCCATCTCCAGGGCTGCAATACAATCACATTGCTTTTGATGTACACAAGATAGTAAGTGGGCACTTCAGAATCCCAAAGGGTGGGGGAGTGACTATGAAGCAAAGAAATGCAGAAGGTGTAAAATTGAATACAGTAGTAGTCTTACCTCTTTCTAGCCGGAAAGCACAGCCTTGATCACATGATTTCCTACTTGGTGATGGCTCAGTGGCGGAGTTACTATCCCAATTAGGGTCATTAAGCAAGGACTACCTATATAATTAGCTTGGGGACAAATCCAGCCTCTATGTTGGGAATTTATAGTGAAGAACTCTGCTTAAGCTGCATTTTTGCAGTTTGCACCTTTGATTTATATTTGATCAGAACTGTTTGATCTGCAAATTACTCAGAATCTAAAGTTTAAAGCAATGCAACCATTTTATTCCTTTTTAATTTATATTATATGCCTCAATTGTTTAGAATCTGAGATATATATTTATGATTATAATCCCTTTTAGGCAATTTTATTGTTCCTTTATACATCTTGGGCAAGTATTTGTATATGTAAAAAATAGTGAAGACATTGACAGATTACATCCCAATTTGAAATATCTTTTAGGAAGGTGGAGTTTTTACTTTTGGAGCTGGAGGCTATGGGCAATTAGGTCATAACTCTACTGCGCATGAAATAAACCCCAGAAAAGTTTTTGAACTTATGGGGAACATTGTCGCACAAATTGCCTGTGGAAGGTAAGTGTGTTATTAGAATGGAACTGTTTTTTTACTTTTTTTTTTCAAAGTGAGCTGATCTGGCCCAGCTGAAATATTAATTACTTCAGGAGCTTTTTAAAAAGCTTTAATATTCAACATTATTCTTGAAAAGCAGTCAGAGCATCCTGTTTCAAGTTAAAGTCCATAAAGAAAGAGATTACTAATTTTTTCCTTTGTTCGTTTAATAAAGGATTTATTTGATAGTCAATTGAAACTGGTTTAAGTTTACTTTAAATGTTTTAATTAGAATGTGCAATTGTTTATTCAGTATATTTATTGTGATTCTGATCATAATTCAGAATAAAGTCATTTGGCAATTGCACTTTTTCCATCAAGAGCCATGAAGTGAATATAGATACAGAGATTAAACTATATTAGGCAAGAATGCTCTGCCTAGGACATTCTACTCTACATTGTTGGTTCTCATCTCTCTGTGCCTTTATAAGGTGGTCCCCATCAAGCACTAGCAGGTTACAAAACAAAGATGTAGGGTTGTTGGAACTATCAAGATGGCTTCAAAATGACTTAGCAGGAAATACAATGTAACATATAAATTATAGTCTAGGAAGATACTTTTAAGAGGGATGGTTACAACTTTCGTTTGAAGTAAATTAAATTATGTCAGATTAAACTGACTTCTAAAGGATCCAGATACGCTTTTTGAAGCACTCTTCTAACAGGCATAATAAATTAATAACCACTTGCTCTTATTGTGAAATCTTGTTGGGGGTTCCAGCGATATGCTGTTACAGAGAAAAGGCTGCTATGATTTAGACAATGCAATAATTCATAAGGCCCAAGGGATGAGTTAATTGCCCTGGCACAATATTGTTCCATAAGCATAATAAACTTCTGTTCACTGGATTGCAAGCTTTGTCCTTTTTGGGGCATCTTTTCCTAGCCAAGGTGGAGCAGCTGAATCCAAACATTTAGTGTTCAAGTATACATTACAGGTAGTTATTGACTTACAAAGTTCATTTAGTGACCGTTCTAAGTTACAACAGCTTTGAAAAAAGCAACTCATGACCATTTTTCACCCTTATGACCATTGCAGCATCCCCAGGTCATGTGATAAAAATCCAGATGCTTGGCAACTGACTCACATGTATGATGGTTGCAGTGTCCCAGGGTAACATGAACATCTTTTGTAACCTTCTGTCACGCAGAGTCAGTGAAGAAATCAGATTCTCTTAACACCCATGTTACGGATTTAACAACTGCAGTGATTCACTTAACAAATGTGTCATAAAATGGGGCAAACTCGCTTAACAAATGTCTCACTTAGCAACAGAAATTTTGGGCTCGATTGTGGTTGTAAGTCGAGGACTACCTGTAGTAGCTGAAATTGGGAACTCTTGGGTTAGCTGAACTGCAATAAATAAATAATTTATATTTTGAATGTCGTTTTAGAAAAGAGTCTGGAATGTCCTCCTTTCTTACTTCATAGATGTTTCTTTCCTCTGTTGCAGGCAGCACACATCTGCATTTGTTCCGTCAACTGGAAGAATTTACTCTTTTGGTCTTGGGGGAAATGGACAGTTAGGCATGGGAACAACCAGTAATAGGAAAAGCCCCTTTCCAGTAAAAGGAAATTGGCTGGCATACAGTGGCCAAATTCCAGTGAATTTAGGTGATTATCTCTATTCTTTATTTGTTTGAAGTGTTGTTGGGCTGAAGTACTATTGGAGATACTGGCTGGGTTCGTGCATTATTCTACAGTATCGTGATTATTTCTTGCTTTAATCTTTTGCATTTACAATAAGCCATGGTTTATGTGGTGTGTGGTATGCACACTCAGTTGCAGTTTAGTGAACAAACTTTGACTAGACCATGACTTGGTGGTACGTTCAAGATGTGCCATTGTGATAAATTTAGTTCTTGGTGGTATAACTTAGGTCTCATGAAAAGAATCTTTATTAAGCATATAGTAGTAACAATACATTGCAATGCAAGTTTTAAATCATTTCTATACAAGAAAAATCTATACAAGAAAACTGCCATATAGAATAAAACCAATTTTTACTATAAGATTATAAAAATGTAAATATAATACAGAATAGAAACTGTTCTTGTTGTTAAACCCTGAAATAAAACATGTTAGTTGAAGTATGTTAAGTTAGTGTGTCAGAATTACAGAAGTTACATTTCTTAAATTAATTTCACTTATAACTAAAGTAGCTAGTCCACTGAAGATACTTTTATTTTAATTATAGATGGTGAAGATTATTATTGTGTAAAGAGGATTTTTTCTGGTGGAGACCAAAGCTTTTCACATTATGTTACTCCACAGGTACGTTATTTATTTTGATTGATAAGCTTGCTTCTGTTTCACTAAACTTAATGCCTAAGCTTGAAAATAGAAACAGATTCTAGTGGGTTTTTTCCATTTCAGGAGCATAATTGGTATATCTGTTGTATATTAGCTTGCTTAATCTTTTTTCCAAAAAGATTTTCATAGAATTTAAACTATTAGACAATTGTATGATTTGTTGCTTAATATTTGTGTAATTACTGAATTTGATTATATGCCATCAAGCTGTTTTTGAGTCCATAAAGATAGATTTTCTTCCCAGTCTGGTCCTTCGGGTGCAACATTGCCACTCTGACTGATTCCATCCATGTTGCTGCTGGTCATCCTCTTCTCTCCTTCCTTTCCATCTTTTCCAGCATTAGAGTTTTCTGTAGGGAATGGTGCCATAATGTTTCCAATGTCAGATAATTTGAACTTGAATTATTATTGTGTAATTATTACATAACTATTTGCTTTGAAACTAGATGGATTAATCTGACACTACCAATTTCATGTTTGTACAAGTCACCTTGCCTGAATTGAACATAAGCAGATAATAGTCGATATGTTACGTTTAACACAATCTCAAAAAATAATTCAGCAGATTTTACCTATGTTTTGTCAAATATGTGAACATATAAAAAACAGCCAAGAGTGAAGTGACTTAAAAATAAAAACAGGACAAGTTATAAAAACCTATTATAAAGATTACAATAGGACAACTTAAAAAAGAGATTGTGCGTGGTTTGATTGTTGCTCGTTATTGTAAATTGTTTTCATGGTATTAATGATTTTGTTATTTAGTGCTGTATTGTAAAAAATGGCTGGCATTAATGCAGGTATAAATAAAACAGTGAATGAATTTTTTTCAGCTCTGAGTCTAGGGATTTGAAATTTATGAAACAATTTCTTGTGATAACATCATTTACCACTTAAATGCAGGATTTGATACCAGCAGATGACTTCAGATATCCGAATGCTTCAAAACAAATCTGGACTGTGAATGAAGCTTTCATTCAGAAATTAATGAACTGTACGTCTTCAGGTACAGGGAGGCTCCCTGTGGAGATAGCAAAGTAAGAATTATTTTTTTTGTTAAATCTTTTAAATCAATCTTTCCCAACCTTGGTCACTTTAAGATGTGTGGACTAACTCCCAGAATTCCCCAGCCAATAATAAAGCTGTGTGATTTAATCTGATATTACATAAATCAATTATTACATTGGAATAAAATTATCTTACCTCATCATCTGGAGCCATAAAATAAAAACTCTGGAAATGAATTCCTAAATGCACTCCTCAAGGCAGTTAATTTGAGTGTTACCAACCCAGGAGATGCAAAAATGTTACTGGTGATTTCGTTGTTTAGAGAGAAAACTGGGGTATTAACGCCACAAATCATGTGACTGAGGGGGAGGGAGGATCATTTGAACATTGAATATGGGTCATAAGTACCCCCTAGGTCAGTCCCTCAGCACTTTGAATGGTTGGGGCTTCTGGTTTTGAACTTCCCTGAAGACAGACCTCTGACTGCGATTGTGCGCGGCTTTGGTCCGTGCTTCGGCATCAGAGAGGCCTGGTCGATTAGATTTGCAGCAGAAGCTGCCTCATAGGGGCGGCGGAGGAAGGGGAGACCGTCAGCCAAGTAGAGAGGAGTTACAAATCCCCTCCCTGGCTTGGCAATTGCTCCTTCCCGAAGACAGCTGAAGCGATGGTCTAAAATGGCCACCCTGAAGGGGAAGATTAGACTGGAATAAGATTGTGCAGGAGAGAAAAAGAAGTGAACAGCAGGAGGAATGGGACAATATAATTAAATGGAAGGTACCCCCAGGATTAACATTTCAAAGAATTTTTAAGAAAGGATTAAAGCGATGAAGAGAAAGAGAGGGGGAAAAAGGTGCAAATCGCTTTTGACAGCTCCTGGGCTTTGAACCAAGAAAGGTAGAAGCTGGAAGAAGAAATCATCTGATCAATTTGGATAAGTATATTCTCATTCTTCTACTAATAAAGCTGAACTATAGATTGTTACAGAGGAAATTTAATATCAATTGGATTTGATCTTTTTGTTTGGAAGACTGTGGTTTAAAAAGCTCTGAATAATTGGGGGGGAAAAGAAAAGAGGAGGTGAAGATCTGTTATAACAAAGTGTGCCATCTAATTTAAATCTAACTTGTTCTTCTTTTAAAAGACTCTGTTTCTTAAAAACTGTAAGGAAAGTTGATACAATAAAACAAGAACTTTGAAAAATTGAAACAAAGAAAGAAACAGGAAGATTCTGCCCTTGGACTAATGGTTGATTCCGGCAAGGATTTGGCATTGGATTAACTGAGGAATAAAACTTGAGAGGAAGAAAATAAAAGCTGACTGTTGGAAATTAACTTCAAAGACACTATTTGGATTAAATTGCTAACTAGAAAGTTGTAAAATGGCAATATCTCTTCTGGAATTAAATATGAAACTTAGAAGTATGAAAGAAATACCACAAGAGCAAGGTGAATCATTGGGCTTTGCTTTAGAATTTATGAAAAATGCGATTGCAAAATATGAACAACGAAGAGAAAAGACAGAAGAGAAGATGGAGCAAATCATCGAAGGGGCCGTTTTTAATTACCATTGAGAACAAAGAACTCTTGAAAGAAAGAGGAAAAGAGTTGGAAATATAGGAGATTTAAAGTTAAAAGTTAAAAAAGAAGGGAATATCCAGAAAATTAAAAAAGGGAAAAAGAATCAGCAGAAATTCGAAGGGTGGAAGGAAGCTATATAGAGAGAGGGGGATAAAAACTGGAGTGAAAGAATAAAAGGAAAGAAACAGGATTTGGGAACAAAGAAACATGGGAATTGTAAAAAAACTGGGAAAAATTATTTAATTAGACATAGAGATAATGGTTGATTAATATTTAGAGGGGATTCTGCAAGGTGCTGGGGGGGGGAACATAAATTTATAGTTATGAATTAGGGACATATAGATTGATAAGATGGAAAACAACTGTTATTTCTTGATAATGGAATCTAATGCTCTTTTCCTTTATGTATAGAGATAATTGTAATATTTCTAAGACTGGAATGCAGGCTTTTTTGTTTAAATTTGAATGGAATAATTAATAGAATATGTGTATTAAATATATTGAAATAAATGACATGATATAGGAGGAGAGCTGAAATGGAATTAACATCAGGATTAAATGAGTAGATTAATATGTCCTTTTTTTGAAATTGTAAATAAATCTTATGAAATTAAAAAGGGGAAAAACCATGCAGAATCTGATTTATATATGTTATGTAGTTTTAAAGGGATTATTAATGTTAATGTTCTAGGTAATAAAATGTTAAATATTTAATGAGATTTAAGAGGGGAGATAATATGTAACTTAAAGGTGGTGCACTTAAACTGATATTTTAGGGGGAAACCAATTTATAGGAGTGTTTTTAGAATTTAAGATGAAATATGCAAATGTGACAGTTAAAAGTACTAAAGTGTAATAATTATGAAGCTAACATAAGTGAATTAAATAATGAGGTAAGCATTTGGAATAATATAATAAAATAGAAAATGTATAAAAGCATTGTTAAGATAAGAAATTGAACACAAAAAATTGAATATGTAACTATGGTCATATTTGTATGTATATGTGAAACCTGTAATTATGCTGTTTACTAAAAAGAGATGTTAAAATGTGAAAACTGAATAAAACTTGATTAAAAAAAAGAACTTTGAATGGTTGCTAAGCAATCGGTCATAAGTCAAGGACTACTTGTGATAATTTATTAAATGTTGAAGCTGATTGAATGGCTTTTTACACATTGTTAAACACATTTAAAAACAAAACAAAAAGGAACTAAAATGTCAGATACAACAAACCTAGATGGGTACACACACAAAGAAGAAAAGGGCGTGTCAGTCGCACTCAACTAACATGTATGTTTTTCCTTTTTCCTTTTTTTGTAATAGTGAAATAGAGGGAATGTTTTCTTCTTCTGGCTGCCTAAATGGAAGCTTTTTAGCTGTCAGGTCAGTGGATAATGAATACATAATTGAATGAAATTGTTAACATTTGTTTATTTAAAATATAGAAAAATCTGTACAAAGTAACATTTCTCTCTCTTCTTTCTGCAGCAATGATGATCACTACAGAACTAGTGCCAGGTTCTCAGGGGTGGATATGAATGCCGCCAGGCTTTTATTTCACAAACTTATACAGCCCGAACACCCACACATATCTCAGCAGGTTGGCCTTAAAAATCTTTAAAAGTTCATTTCAATTCCATTGCATGCTATTCTGTCTGCATCGTATTCTTTTTGTTGTGCCATGCATGGGGAGATTTGAATTGTGAATATATTTTAATTTAATATTTCTAACTTGTCAGAATACATGAATTTCATTAGGTGCTTTACACTGGAAGAAGAAATGACATATAATGTAGTAGAAATCTGGTTTGTTTGTACTTTTTATTCTGGCTTGTGTAACAAACTATGATTCTTTGTCCCATTTTAACAAAGTGAAGACTTATTTGCTATTATTATTTGCTTTGCAAAGTCAGTAAAGAATTTGCAAAGCGTCAGGGGTGGTGGTGGACAGAGAGCAGCAAACAAAGAAAAGGTGAAGCAAAATGCAATTTTCTTCAAATATGTGGTTTTTAATTTTATATTTGGATGTAACAAATACTAGGGATGTCCAAAGGGTATGATGAAAAAAGGCAAGAGAGGGGCCTCAACAAAGCAACACACAAAACCAGACAGAGCTTTTATTGCTCTGATGATGCCATCTTGCCTTTTTTACTTTTTATCCTATCTTTGCTATTTTTTAAATGAACATATTTAATACTCCTTCCTCCTCCTGTTTTCCCCACAACAACAATCCTGTGAGGTGACTTTGGCTGAGAAGTGACTGGCCCATTGTTTCTTTTTCATGCCTAAAGTGGGGCTAAAATCTCCTGATTTCTAGCCTCATTTACTAATGTTTGGAACAAAAATAAATGGCACAATTATGCTAGCTTTCTTTAAAAAAATTAAAAATGAGTTTTTAAAATTGCAAGAAGAAGAATATGTGTCTCTTTGTATTATTCTTACTGGCTTATTCTCCCAGAACAGGTTTTTAATTTAAAACTAGATTCTGACTTACACAACATTCCCAGGTGGCAGCCAGCTTGGAGAAGAACCTTATTCCTAAGCTGACCGGCTCCTTGCCTGATGTGGAAGCATTAAGACTATTTCTAACACTGCCAGAATGCCCCTTAATGAATGAAGCAAAGAATTACATGACTTTGGCTATTCCATTTGCAACTGCTATTGTGAATCTAGAAAAAGCTCCATTGAAAGTACTTGGTAAGGTTGGTTTGCTTAATGTCAATTATAACTATGTAGGTCTTACTCTGCTGCAAAGAATGAGTACATTGCAAAATTCAAGTAGGTGTGTATGTTCTGCAGTACCTGGGGCTTTTTTTGATTCTTGAACTATTGAAGAGAACTATTGTTATAAGTTCATTTTCATACATCTGATACATAATTAGCAAAGTTGTGATGGTTATTGGTAATAAAATTCTGTAAAATAGAATTTATTTTTGGATTTCCCATATGAAGAGTTGGACTACATTGTTAAGGAGAGTTGCTAATGAAGGATATATGTTAAGAACTAGTGACAGCTTATACCAGAGGTGGTATTCAGCAGGTTCTGACCAGTTCTGGAGAACCGGTAGCGGAAATTTTGAGTAGTTCAGAGAACCAGCAAATACTACCTCGGACTGGAGATTTTATAGTATCCTACAGTAGCCACGCCCACTACATCACATCCACAGAACCGGTGGTAAAAAAAATAGAATCGCACCACTGGTTTATACCCCTCCAACCATTACAATGTCCCTTTTGTCCATTACAGGATGGTGAGAACTCTTTTGCATTGGTGCTAGTTTAGTTGGTTGAGCACTCGAGTTAATGCAGGGGGATTTTATTAGCCATTGTGTTCCTAAGGGTCAGTTTTATCCCATTTATTTTTAAGGATGATGCGGACAATATCTACCTTTCTGTTTTTCAGCTCGTTCTCTACATAATGTTTAGACATAATAATAGATGTCATGTAGACTAACAACTTCTTAGATAAGATATAATTGTAGGAATCTAATAATCCCATCTGGAAATGGAAGTATGATTTGTTTCAGGTGACATTGTGCTTTGACCAAAGGGCTAAGATTATATTTTGAGAGCACTTTCAGAATTTATTATTGCTTTTGGAAGATCCAAACTTTCCTGTCACTAAAAAGTTGGGGGCCACTGTTCTGTTTTGCTGGTCCTGAAACCTTGACAGGAACATTTTTCTAAGAAACCCAGTTGAGAAATTTCTAGGGAGCTTTTATTGATTCTTTAGTTTTTGAAGCTTCTAGTTTCTACCTGCAATTTTATAAATTCTGTTATTTTTGCTCACTGTTTTTAAACATGGGTTGTCTCCTGTTTTAATTGGTTAAGTATGTTTGCTTGCTTTATATCTCATCATATCATAGAAGCTTTTCATGATTCAGAAGCAAAATAAAAAGCTTTTAGTTAAAACATAATATAGTAAATGGATGTTTTGTTTGATGTAGAGTTAAACAGTTGGTGAAATGACATCATAGAGAATGTTAAATAAAAACTAATTCAGCAAGCTGCAGAATGCTTCAGTAACTGTCACCTTCTTGCCTGTTTGTAGAAAACTGGTGGTCTATATTGGAACCTCCGTTGTTCCTCAGAATAGTGGAACTTTACAAAGATGTTGTAGTCCACCTTCTGAAACTGTACAAGTTGGGTATCCCTGCTTCAGAGCAAAGAATTTTTGCAAGCTGCCTACATGCTTCGCTCAAAGTTTTGGAAATACTACACAGGGTATGTCTTGGAAATCTGTATTCTTATTTTCAAGTTAAGATTCAAATTATATCTATCTTCCATGTAATTGATATAATTAATATAATTAAGAAGAAGGCACTTCTTTTAGAGTGCCTTCTTACTTTGTAGACAACTGGAAGAGAAATGCTTCAATAAAGCATCTGAACTGTAAATCTAAGCAAATGAACTAATATCAATTTCACAAGTTCAGTAGAAATTAAAATTTAACCCAATTTTTAAAAACAATATGCCAAGCCAAAGCTGAAGTGGTCAGAGTACAGTTCTAATCATACTTACAGACGTTCAATTTTTGATATTAATTCAAATTAGTGAATACCACTTTTTAAATCCACTGCAATGCCACTATTACAAATATTCAAACAGAATTTTACCACAGTTGCATTCTATGACCAGTTTTCTGTGATTTAACATGCATATATACATACATACATACATACATATGGATCTTTGGTTATTCAGGTTTTCTCCCGCGTAAGATTGGAAGTATCTAGGCAACGTTTCGATGAAGTCTCATTCAT